TATGTTATATATGTAAGCGAACATGTATAACGGAAACATGACACAGATAAATACGAAAATGACAAATATTGAAATTAATTATAATCTGGTCTGAATAATATTATGTAATAGGTTGTCCCTTCTGAGTTCCTGTCTCTCCCTTGATAGTTATTACGAGTGTTTTATCTTCAGTTTTCTTTCTATTTTATGTTTAATTCTTCTCTTCGCCCCTTATAATAGCCATAATAATATTTATAAAGGAATAAATGGGAGTAAGGACATACTGTATTTTTACTACGTTATTGCATGCATAATGGGCGATTGTCTAATGAATAAAAATATTTTTATCAAATCTCTATATTTAATTAGGCTCAATAAACGGTAAATCGGTTTCATTTGAGACGATAATTTTAACCCAATTTTTTTTATATAATTCAAATGTTCAACTCAAGGTTGATTGAAAGAAATCCCTTTGAGGGATGAGTCCAACTGTGTTTTTGTTATAACCTAATATCTATAAGTGTATGTACAAAAGCATATAAATAAATAAATGCTCAATGAAACATCAAATTTGTTTATAATTTAATATATTTTACATTTATTACTCGTGCATACCGCATTTTACTCCGTTGAAATAAAAAAAAAATTTCAAGTACAGTAGATATATTTTTGGATTCGTAAAATGATTCTCAAAAACAAGTCATCAATAATTGAACACACTCATCTTCACTCACAGCATACTCGCTTTTTTTTAAACAGTTTTTGTCACATTTTCTGAGCGGAAAGTGTGTATGCCTTTTTGTAGTTGATCGATGGCGGTATACGTGGGTATGTGAGGTTTTGTTAAAGAACCTTATTTCGCCATACAAAGGGCCGTGCTATGGAATAATGAGGTTCTCACATGAGTGTTCTCCAGTTTTCTATTTCAGCCTTGACGTTAGTGGTGTAGTTAGATGAGACTTATGATGGAAATTTGTCAGATATTTCTTAGTGGAGGCCAATTATTTTTCATAGTTATTTTGTAATTTGGTTGGTTTTGTGCACGTAATAATTGGATGTTAAAACTTAATATTTTTAATCACAAGTACTTACATATTTACTGTTGTTAATATATTATGGTATTATAAAGGTGTTAGGGAATATAATGCAAGAAATTACGACCAAGTGGTGGAAAAATTGATGTATAACTCTATAAGGATTATCTTATAAGATTACCTATTTTATTTTATGATGAAAAAGGAAGGCAAAAGAGCATATGGTGTAGCTTGCCTGATGGTAAGTGATTACTGCAGCTTATGAATATTAGCAATACCGGTGCAGGTTTCGATTCATTGGTGGCCTTTTAAGTTTTTGTTTTCAATTGCAATGAAAAAATGAAATTTTTGTTACCTTTTTAGTTTTGTACGAGTACTAAGTTGCAAGATTGCAGGATGTGATATGTTTTGGTAGGTACCGTTAATTTATTAATTTCTATTGTAAAATAGAAAGAACTATATTCTTTATGTCTGTTAGAGGGATAGATAATTAAAAAGTGTCAATTGTAGTCATAAAAGGTGTACTTGTCACCTTTGTTCTTATGAGTAGCGATGCATGAAGGGTATTGTAGTGGCACATAGGTGGTGTAGTATTTTATTCTATAAACGGCTCTTATTTTCCATTAGAATTTGTAGTTTTGTTTATCATTTCCATTAGGATGAAACATTCTTATCTATATCAGATACGTCTATCAGTATTTTTCTATTAGATATATATAATATTATGATCATCATCATTCCAAATATTATCTGTTCACTACTTAACATAGGCCTCCCCACAAATTGCTATAAGAAAAGATACTAAGCCCCCTGCATATACTGACCCCCTGCGATACATTTGAGATTGTCACACCATATTGTGGGGGTTGTCCTACACTGCGTTTGCCCGTACGGGGTCGCCACTCAGGAAACTTTATTCTCTGTCGGTTGTCGGTTTTTCAAGCTATAAGTATGTGATCCGCCCATTACCACTTTTTTTTTTTTTTTTTTTTTTTTTTTTTTTTTTTTTTTTTTTTTTTTTTTTGTTTGTTTGCGGTGCAATATTTAAGGCATCCCGTCTTCGCTATTGGATACGGGTGACGGAATGCCTATACAAGAGGGTACATGGTGGACGCAATTTAGATGCAATATTTGAGGATTACGGCCGGATACTGCAACAAAAAAGAGTATGTGGTCGGCCCCCGAACTGGCGACCTCTGCTGTCTACCGGTCTCCAGTTCGAGGGACGACCGATTACCGGCCGTAAGAGATGACGCAGGGCGTTTATGAAAACACACTACAAAAACACACAGGGCGTGTATAATGACGAACTGAATGATGTATGTACAGCTGCTGGTTATTAGTATTTTATTATATTTTTATAATACCAAATATACGTACTAGTACATATACATATGCTTTCTTTTTTTATTTTATATATATATATATATATATATATATATATATATATATATATATATATATATATATTATTATTATTATTTTTGTTCTAATTTTGATACAGTAAAACTTATATCACTTATATTCATTTTTTTTTATTTTATTTATTTATTTTTATTCTTTTTTTATATATTATTCTTTTTTATTCTTTTTTTTATATATATATATTATAATTATTAATATCTATGATGATCATGTTCGAAATATGGTAAATGTATGTAAATGTATAAAAAATGTATATGAATTTGTACAATGGACTGTCTAAACCTATGTATTATTGATGACTTTTAACCTGTTTACAATGTATGTGCAGAAATCAACAAACGAATCAACAGCAGACTCCTTGGAGATGATATCATCTAACTGGTATGGTGCGACTCTAAGCATGGCGCAGCGGCTTACATGGTTGTGCCGCTGTGTAGCGAATATAGGACAATCACGTAACAGGTGCTGGATAGTCTGGATTGAGTTGTTGTCGCAGGGACACGTATTGTTATCGGTAATGCGGAAGCGATGTAGATATTGCTTTGCAAAAGAATGCCCGGTTATTATTTGAGTCATAGCGAATGATATTGGGACAGCCTTTCTATACGCAGCAATACTATCAAGTGTGGGAAGCCAACTGCTAATTAATGACGAAGAAGTCTCGGCCACATACTCATTGTTGGAAGCACTATATGTGTCTTTTCTGATGCAGTAACGAGCGTAGGACATCGGGAACGAATTCTTTTGGGAAGCCACTTTTAGAGTGGCCGCCATTCTGGCGGCTTCATCTGCTTGCTCATTCCCGATAATTCCCACATGAGCCTTGACCCAGACGAAATTAAAGTGGTTGGAGGATGTGTGTATGGCTCTATGAATGCTATTGACTGTCGGCTCCCTATTGCTGCGCTGTTGCAATGCCATAAGGGCTGAGCGACTGTCTGATAGTATGGTAATACTAGCATCCGAAACTTTCGTGTCTTCAAGCCACTGAATACCGATTTTGATGGCAGTGAGCTCAGCCGTAAACACTGTGTTGGTACGGCAGAGTTTCACCTTTTTTAGGACAGGTTGCCCTGATGGTCGATAGATTATTGCTGCCGCACCAACTTCACCTGAGTCCAGCTTGCTACCATCCGTATAGATCATGTATTGTGTGCCCGCCGTTAAACGCTTAACATCATCTTCGTTGTTAGCCAGCGCAAACTCAAAGGTGCGTCTCTCAACCGGATGGAGTAGCTGTCGAGTTTCGACTGGTTTTGCCAGTTCTATATCGTCAGGTAAGCAATCCAGTGTGCCGGTTACCTTAACTTTGTGCAATTTGGTGCACTCCAAGATCTTAAGATGAAGTGGCACGAATTGTGCCAATGCAATCGCTGCCGCGGCAGAAACCGTACGAAATGCACGGATAGCACGGATAGCGAATTGCCTTTGCACCGTGCGAAGCCTACGTTTGACTGTGGTAAATCGAACGGCACCGCCCCAGATACCAGCAGCATACGTAAACATCGGTTCTATAACCTGTCGATATAGTGTCGCTATATTGTCAGGGTGAGGGCCCCAGGTGGGACGAGTAATTCGAGCTAACTTGTTAAATAGTTTAGAGGCTTTGAGAGCGATGTGTGAGGCATGTTTTATAAATTTAAGGCGCCAGTCAATTATGACTCCCAAGAGTTTTATCTCCTCCCGAATAGGAATAGATTGCTGATCGATTTCGATTTTTGCGCTTCTGGCCCGGGCAGTAAATGCAATGGCCTGCGTTTTGGCCGGGCCAAAGTGGAGTTTTACAGAGTGTCCCCATTCGGTGATGCTCTGAAGATCGATACGGGTACGGGTCTCGATTTCGTCCACTGTGCAGCCCCGGACAATAAGCAGCACATCGTCAGCAAAAGCTTGCACATCACATCCCTCAGGCAAAGGAACATCAAAAAGTCCGTCAAGAATTAGGTTCCATAAAGAAGGACCACAAGCAGAGCCCTGTATACAACCTTTTGACATATTTTTTTGGATTGTGGCTGTGCCGTAATCAAGTATTACTCTACGGTCCTTAGTGTAATTAAGGACGAGGTTGTACAAGTTCCTAGGGCAATTTATACGTTTTAACCTGGAGAACAAAGCGGGCCACCAGGCATTATCAAAGGCTGCTCTTATATCCAGCGACACGGCCACCACTTGATCTCCAGCAGACTGCGCTTCAGTAATGCAATTTATAGCATGTTGTAGTGCATCTGTTGTCGATGTAAGCGGTTTGAATCCAAATTGCCGTGGATTGTCCAATCCTAACTGATGTATATGAAAGTTAATCCTATTGATAAAAAGTTTTTCTAGTAACTTTCCAAATACTGGCAAAAGACCGATTGGACGGAAAGCTGATACGTCATTCGAATCAATTTTGTCAGGCTTGGGGATAATCTTAATATGGGCATCCTTCCAATTTTCAGGAAAGTACCCGATTTGTAGGCATCGGTTTAGGATGCCCAATATTACCATTGGGATGGCTTTAAACACGTGTAAACAGATATCGGAAGTCAGGGAGTCATTACCGGGAGCTTTATTAGGTGAGATTCAAGCCAGGCATTCCTCCACCTCTTCACGGGTGAAGGGTATGTCCTCATCAGTGTCAGGGATATTATTGGCTTCGGCTCTAAGCAGGCGCTGTTGAACAGAAGTATCTGGACCATCATCCGGGAAGTAGTGATTTAAGAGAGCGGCGGCAGTAGTGGCGCATGAATCAGTGTGTATTTGGCCTATTCTTACAGTTTGTGGAGGGGACCGGAAGTTATTGCTATATTTCATCAGTCGGTTGGTTATCGCCCAGACATCCTCCTTACCTTGAGCACTACAAAACTCTTTGAAATGTTGGGTAGATGCAAAGGATATCTTCTTAGCATATTCAGCTTTAAGAGCTCGGTATTCGTCGAGTGTGCTGCCGAGGGGTTTACCCGTCACAGACAAGTCATGTATGCGGTGATGAAGTTTTATACACTGTTTCTTTAGGGCCTCTAGCTCGGCGTTCCACCAGGGGTTAGAGTCTCGATTACCTGTCCTTTTGGGAATATTGCGCCTGCAAGCAGCGTGTATATCCTTGATGAGCTGAGTTACCGCGTCGTGAATCTGGTTATTATCAAGGGCCTCAAACTGAAGTATTGTTAGACCGCTGATAGTGACATATCTAATTAAGTCTTCTTTAAAGCCAACCCAGTTGGCCTGTTTCGTGTTATAAATAAGGGTAGATTTCACTTTATTCTTATCCACACATTGGGGTACTCCTATTTCAAATTGAATAGGGTTATGGTCGGAAGAGACCATGACTGACAAGTTAACATGCCAATTGGAAATCTGGTGCGCAAGGTTTGATGACGCAATAGTCACGTCAGGTATAGATTGGATTCTGAGACCATTACGAATTACCTCGAAGGTCGGGGTATCCCCTTCATTGACAACCGACATGTCTTCAGCTGAAATTATGTCTAAAATATCTTCACCTCTTCTGTTATTTCGGCTAGCTCCCCAGGCGGTGTGCCAACCATTTAGATCTCCACCAAGGAGCTGCAATGAACCCCTGGTGGAGGATAGGAATCGCTCAATTGCTGTGAGTGTGTTGTCCTTATCATCGTTAGGCTCTATGTAGGCGCTAGCGATCAATAGTTTCCTACCTCCCAAAGAAAGCTCAGCAACTGCCAGGTTTGGGGAAGAGAGTTCAGTACGGCATAGTGCGCAGCCGGTTTTGTTTTTGACGAAAATGCAAGCTTTAACGTGTCGATCGCCTCTAGGAAATTGAATAATTTGGACACCACGGATGCCGGTAAGCTTTTTGGAGTTGCCTACGTAAGGTTCAGATATAATGGCAATGTCAAAGTTGTTATCAATGAACAATCTGTTAAACTCTGACTGCGCAATGTAGCTTCTATTTAAGTTACACTGCAGAACTGCTAGTGAATGGTTCTTGTAGGCCATAGTCGACAGACTGCTCTACAATTTGTCGCATGCGAATGATACGAGGGCAAATTTTTCGGTCTATAGCGGAATGACTTTCCTTTAAGTGACGGGTGTTAGGTAATTCAGAATTTGTGGAAGAGGTTTTGTTGTTAAAAATATGACAGTTGTAGCAACGGAGTTTAGATTTGTCCTTTTGGTGGGGGCAGTCTGGTAGAGAGTGGTTCGTAGCAGCGCAATGGGCGCAGGGATGAATTACTGCTGTGCACTTGGCCCGAGTGTGGCCGAATTGGAGGCAGAGAAAACACTGCAGGAACCTAGAGAAATCCTCTGCGTGAACTCTCTGGTGCTCGACGTTAACACGGCCTAGAGAGACGATAGTAGACCTGACGTCAGGGGATACCTCTACCACGGCGTTGTATAAATTACTGTTACGATTGCTAGTGAGGAAGCACAATCTAATGTTACTTTCCTGAATGGAATTCTGTGAGCAAACTATTTCTATCAGTTCCTCACGAGCAATAGACTTGCTGATGCCCTTGAGTATGAGCAGTGGGCGTTTAAGTTTTTCCTCCTGGGCCGCCAATCCCTGGATCGATTTAGTCCGCTCAATAGTTTCTTTGCAGTGTTGCGGGCTATCAAACTCGACTCTCACTCTACCCTTGGAGATGGGCTGAATTTTGCACGGGGCGTAGCCGAGTTGACGAAAAGAGATATTCTCCTTCCACTTACTCACCACCTCGTGGGAATTGGTAGAGCCTTCTTCTGTGGAGCTAATGATCAGTGCCGGATTGGATTTGACTTTGGGTGCAGGAACAAATTTTGATTTAGAAGCTACTGCTGCGTAAGAGGTAAATGGTGGTTGAGAGGCGATGGATTGGGTGTTAAACTCTTGTCTGAACTTTTTGAGTTCGTAACGGACTCCCTCAATAATTTCCTCGGTCCTCAGGTGGCAGTGGTTCTCAACTGATGGTTGAAAATTTACCGCACCAAGCTCTTGAATGTCAACGAGATTTCTAACCGACTTCTGGATTTCCTCGGCTGCAGCTATTATAAAAAGTTTATTAGCTTTCGTGACAGTTCTGCCATCCGCGACAGCATGTACAATACACTTTGAGAGCTCTGTTAGTAGATTAGCAAAGGAACCAATATCCGTAACTTGATCGGCATACACTGGCAATTCCGATGGTAATGTGGGCGCCATGGGTCAATAGCGATAGGCTACGCGGGAAATAACTAACTAAAAATATGTTGTATAATTTGTTTACCAATAAATGCGTCGTACTCAAATTAGATATCGGCAATATTAAATGACAACAACATTAACATCTGGTTATTATAATCTGCCAATAGATGGCGCTATAATCGAATTAAACGGCACTAGAATTAAATAATGAGTAATTTTCCTTCGAGAATTTCTATGACCAGTGTTACATAGTTCATATTCTATATATATATATATATATATATATATATATATATATATATATATATATATTGAAACAAGGTACTGACTAATTTTTGCCCATTACCACTTCAGCTTGCTTATCCTTTGGGCTATATCAGTTTCTTCTGTGGATATTCTCATTACGGATTCCATCACGCATAGAAATTCCGGGCATAGCCCTTTCTAGAGCTAGCTAATTAACTTGAAGCTTTTGCATACAGGTAACCCTGTAGGATCATGTTTTGGTTCTATATCAAATTCAACAATTGGTCATCAATGTCAACACGCATTGGTTATGAAGGTATTTTGGATATTTATCCAAAATACCTTCTTAACCAATGCGTGTTGACATGGTGAAGTTTTACGAACGCTGCCTAGTTGGGTATATGTATATACTTCTTGATAAATAATTATTTTACGTAACAAAAATAATATACCAGTTACGTGGAAATGTCAATATTATTATTTCCTTTGTTTTGTAATATACAAGGCGAACAAAGAACTTGATATTTCCTACCTATTTTACCTAATACACACAAATAAGTATAAAGTTTTTGCTGTAAAATAAAAAAAAAATCTATATACTCACAATTATAATTTCAGAGAAAAAGGTATTTTGCGACTTACACCTTTATGATAAATATATCATTTGACATGCTCATAAATCGATAGAGTACAGGCCTACGGGCTACTGCTGCTTCTTATGTTCGTTTTGTTAACGGTGTCTCTCATTACCAGATAGTTATTTAGTAAGTAAGTGGAGTATAGATCACTAGGTTACGATGCACTTTCTTACATAATTATGAAAGTTTGTAAATTTGTTTGGATGTTTGTTTTTATAACGACAAAACGACTAAATAGATTTGAATGAAATTTTATTTATTGGTAGGTTTTTTTTGATGGGTGAAAATGGAATGGTAACCCCACCCGCGCTATCGGTATACACCGGCGGGGCACCAGTGAGGGATGATAGATGAGGATAAAGCAGGTCAGTTAGCCCATCGTGACGAATTCAACAAGAATTATTAACGATGGTTTCCAGGGGCAGCCATGTGGAGGTCGACCTGATAGGGTATATTGCTAGCAATGTCGAACTCCATTGCTAACAAACCCTTTCCCCCTGGGTATTGGTAGGTTAGGTTAGGTCCTAACTTAGTTTACAGGTTATTTTACATATTGATTCACGCGGGAAAAGTTGCGGCAAATAGCTAGTAAATTAATGTAAAAGTAAAAGCAATACACAAATGAAAACTTCACGTATATAAACAATAAGGAATTATACAGGATATATCTCCTATTATGTTTATAGTGGAATCCAATACCGAAACGTAGTATTATTGTTTATGGAAAGTCATTCAATCCGATGATACAAAGGAGAAACATATCGTCCACGTAGCTAGAGTCGTTAATCTCAATCTCGCTATTGTACTGGTCACGGATTGCTGCGTAGAATGCCGAATCTGATTTCGTTGTTGATCATTATTGACAGTTCAATATTGTAGCTTGTTCTGGCATTGAGAATTCATAAATGTATTGTTTAAGATCATGTTAAATGAATTTGTTTGTTGATAATGGACAGTGCTTCTATATTTATATACAAATAAATATTTACCGATATATATTTATTAAACAAATATGTAAATATTATGTTCATATTATACAGGTGATATCGAAATATTTAGTTTATCCTTTTTAAAATCTTGATTACCAATGATAGTAAATATTTTTTGTAAGGGGTTGTTAAATAATAAAAACGTTTTGATCCTCGCATGCTAACACGACGATCTTAGCTATTGGCTTTTTTTATAACACAGAAGGCAAACGAGTATGCGGCTCACCTGATGGTAAGTATCGTTGCCCATAACTAACCGCACCATAAGAGGAATTACGAGTACAAGTGTGCTGCCGGCCTTTTGATAAGGAATATGCTTTTTTTTTAAGGTTACGATGTAAGACTTAATTTTTTCATCATTTACGTTTTTTTATGAAAAATATAGATCATCAAAAGCACATTTTATTAAATAGAAGCTAATAATTTCGATAATGACTGCACCCTGTACGTATATATTAATAAATCTAAATTGTATTTTTATATTACTTAGAATGGTAAACAAGCTGATAGTCTACCTTATAGAAAGTGGTAACCGTCGCCTATAAATATGAGCAGTATCATGAATATCACAGAAGCATAGTGATGCCTACGGTACTCCTCATGTGTTGTTACTCCTGAGAACTATGGGATTATGCCTTCGTATTTTCTCTGCTCCTTAAATAGAAATACAGTCATGCAAACACAGCTTCACAGCAGAAATATGGATACGAGAGAAGTATTCATGCAGACGACTTTTGTCATACGTAGCCTCCCTCTGGTAATGTTAAAATATCGTCACTTTAGTACATAGGTGTAGGATATAGCTTGAGTAAGTCATGCTCACTATGTTCGAACTCGTAGCAGCGTGCAATGATGGCAAATTCATTCATGACACTCATGAACGATTGTTGCTTGTTGGACTAGTTCAGTCTGATGAATTAAAAGTGAAACAGCACCATATTTATTGTAGATTTATACTAAGCCTTTATTGAGTCATGATCATCGCATATTTATATTTAGCTTTTATTATGGTTAACTTATGGTTATGACAGAAAACTTATGCTTTGTTTTTTTGAGAACAAAACAGTAAACTGAATTGTGAATTTGTAAACCAATTTGTCTTGCTCTGGCATACATATCTTTGTTTCTTTTAATATTTTAATTTTTTTGTGATTACGTGTATGCTAGAGATGTAAATACAAGTAAGTAATTACGTTTCTATCATGAATGTTTACTTAAGTTTCGACGGTACGATATATTCGTACGGTGCGAATCTACATACGCTACTGTTTATGTGTACATTGAAAATGTACGACGCATGGTTGAAGTGTAAATTGTATATGCAGCTCGGTCTTAATTATTAAGATGCCTCGAGGTGAAGATAGTTTGAATAATATAAGGTAATAGATACCCGATTTACTTGTACTTCTACTAAATTACGGAAATCTACTTTTGTTGATGTATTGGAGATTAACACTATATGAAACTGTCCAACAATTTCAATTATAGCCGTTTGTGTAATTGGTGTTGTTTTACTTCGTAAAGGGGAAAAGAGCTTAAATATACACATTGTTATTGATTATTAATGAAGCTATTTTAAATTTGAAGAAAATATATTTTGAGTGGTAAAAAATTATAAGAGTTTTAGAGATATGGTATATATAAGAGAAATGATGACCCATGTCTCTTATGTATACCAGTATAATGACAAAATATTTAGAGCATTTCGTACTAAATTGAGTGTTGAATACACCATGAATGTATAGAGGGATCAAAGTATTTTATTGTTTTTCCACTCATGTTTATTTGGGATGTTCAGTTATACTGACATAATATTCTCTTAAAAAGATGCTAATTAATATAATTTCACCCTGTATGTTTAGGTCATGTTTATGTAATAAGAGAATATCTTATCTTACAAATATTAAAAAATAATAGATGTTTTGGCATCTATTAGTCTTAATAAGACTAATAGATGCCAAAACAATAATATTTAGAAATTTGTCTGTCTGGAACAAACATTCCGGTATCACGCAAAAACTACGCATAAAATTGAATGCGGTTTTCACAACTGTATTTCGGAAGGTCTATTTTAAAAACTAGTCTATGTTTTATTTTGTTTTGCTATTTAGAAGTGCTTTTTTCCTTAGTTTTTCTATTTTGAAATCCATGTATACGAAGATAAAAAAAGATATAAAAGATAGTTTTTAAAATAAGATGAAAGAAGTACCAATAAGAAATTAATTTCGGATATAGTGTTTCGAAATAAACATCTGTGGCACGCGACAGTGCGATTCTCTTGAAATGCCGTAAAAGCGGGGTCTTGGATACCTTTCATTTCGAAGATGGCCGGAATATTCTAGCGTTTATACACAATGTAACAATCCAAAGACGAGGTACGCCAACTTTGTCAGCTCGTTTGGCTCCTGCACGATCTAGAAAGTTATCTTGGAGTGCATCGGAATTACAACGTGCTTCCAACTTTGCGATTTGGATCTGAGTTACGAGGTGTTGAGCGGATTACTGGAAGTGACAATTCGAAAATGTAGTAGCACTTATAAATTATTAATGTCTATTAACATTTTTTACATTTTACATTCACATGGCAGTGAATTTACAGGGTACAGAGGAATAACACGAGTCCTCAGGAATGACAATGCATGAGGGGTATCATGGGCGAAATAGTATATTCTGTTATATATATGGTACTGGTCATGTCTATAGGCGACGGTTACCTCTTTCCGTCAGGTGGGCCAATAGAAATAAATAAAAAATATCATTTATTTTTTATTTTTACGCAATCTTTTTACCGATTGCAAAGTTATTTTGATTAATCTTTTCTAATTGATTATTTATTTTTACATTGGTGTAATACAAAAATTATATTGGTGTAGCTTTAAAAATATATTATGCTAAAAGTTATATAATTGCGATAAGGGTAGGATGATTATGATGATGTTAGTGTAGTTTTGTAAAATAATAATAGTATAGTACGCTGTATCATTAATATATTTAATATTAATGGAACAGCGATTGTGAAGGTACTAAGCTTTGTTTAGTTAGGGACTAGAAAGCGTCAGGACTTAATATTTATGTTAAGATAAAACTTATATTTAGTCCCGAACAGAGTTATGAATAGAAAAGTTAATAATACGTACTAGTTATT